TTTTATTAGTCTTCTAATTATTAATAACAAGTAGCGTTGCTAAAAATTTTCCCCTCCTGTATACGAAACGAATAAAGACATTTCTACAGTCATAAATACGGTAATAAACAATCCTTTGAAAACTGTTTACTGGACTTTGTGTAAACTGCTGTGCTTGTAAATCTAAAAAATATTTAACAGTTAACTGCACGAAGGCTCACTTCACGCGTCTCCTTTTAACCTGATTCTACTACACTAACGCACTAAAACATGGTTTACATCACAGTGATAACTCGCTACAATCACAGTACTCTGAATAGCGTAAAAAAAATTAATGTTCAGTTGCATGTATGTTTTTAATTATTTTTAGGATTTATAACCTATTGTGATGACCTTATCTGTTTAATTGTAAATTATAAATGAATTTTGAAAGGACATGGTTGAAAGAAAATCTATGAATTATGGACATTTAACGAATATTGAATGCAACAATAATGATAGTAGTAATATAAGCTGAAGTTGATAAAATTCTATCCCTACACGAAAACAACCTAGAAATTGCTGAACAGGTGATAACTGGGTTACTAGATAAATATGCATGTTGGGTAATTAAGTATGCACAGCTAGAAACTCAGGTAATGGATTTTTCTAGTTGGTTAATTAGTTCAATGTCTTCCACCTTCATTTGGGATCCTGGGAGATGACTGATTGGCATTGTCAACAGTGGCTGGTTCCAATTGACTTGTTGTTGTAAGCCACAGGGAGTGGAACACTCAAATGATGACACTCAACAAAATTTAGTATCAAATTTCTCGATTTAAATCACTTTATGTAGACTAAATAGAGTTTCACCATAGAACTTTGCAAAAATTCAAGTTTTCGCATTCCATGAGACACATAGTGATACAAAAGAAAGAAGGAGAGAGATTTTCAAGGACGAAAATAAGCGGAGATATGAGGGAGTAGGAATAATAACTTGGAAAAACAACAGGGCTTCATTGGATATAAAGCAGATCACAAAGAGTGACAACGATTTTGAACCTGATCATGAGCTGTCTGCAGCCATTGCTTCCAAAACTCCAACCAGCCAAGCAGTCTGCATCTCGCTACGTGGGCCGCTCAAACTAACTGCCAGAGATTTCATGGACGGTTCCCAAGTTTTAGTTTGACCACCAATAGCTGATTTCCAAATCCATCCTACGTCAGCTAAAATTTCCCGTCAAGCAAGGAGATGGCTAGATGTGCATAACTCATGTCCTGGTCATCTCAATCGACGTTGCTTCACAACCTCGTCGATCGACATTCATTCCTTACCTGAGACTATGCCTAACCTCAACATTACTGAATTTATTATACCACTTAACACTGTTGATCAAATGTAAGCACATATGACTAAGGAGAGTCAATCTTCTCACGTCTTTCACTTTCAATGACCTTGTCTCACAGTCGTAAATGAAGACGAAGAAAACTGGTGTGCAGTACACAAGTATTTTGACCGATAGCTAAATATCACTTCACCTGAGATGACGTAAACTGATAAGTGCCACACGAGCCTTCTGTATCCGTGATGAGATTTCTTCATCAATCAGCCGTCCTTTGTGGTTGGTGAAGCTTCCCGAATAAACGAAGTGGTCAGCATGCTCTACCATTTCACTCCCTATCTTTAAGCTAGGGTTTAAAGTAATTCAGTCCTGTAGGGAATCGCATTCCAAACATTCGAAGATTTCTGCTCAAGGTGTTCAGAAGGTTATGCATTTTATGAAAGTTTTCACCTTGGAGGACTGTATCACCTTCAAAATCTATGTCAACATTACTGTTCCCTGGTAACAAGTACATCCCTAAGTCACTGAAATCTTCTGTGTTCCATTCCATTAGTATATCTATGATGAAATTAAACAGAAATGGGGGGAGTGGGCATTCTTTATGGACAATACTGGTTGGTTTGATGGTGAAACTAATTGACTGTTCATAACTTACTAATCTTTATTAGTCACTAAAAGCGTATAATTTAGTCATATCATTGATTTTTCCGCTATAAATTGAGTCCACCAATAAGTTTGATTTATCTGTTCACTCTGGAAAACAGATTTAAATTATTCATTTGCACCTGACCGTTTAGCTTCTCTTTTGTGTTCATCACTAAAGTAAGTAGGTTGGATTCCTTAAAATTATGATGTTCACCACATGTTAGAATATCTCTAATTGGACTGTAAGCAATATTGAGTCAATTTTTATTTTTTAGCCTTTAGTTAAATGAACCGCAGTGTTCAGTCTCCGTTGATTTATCGGCAGTTAGAACAGACACTTTGACTTTGTTTAATGATTGACATAGTATTATTTGGTGGATGGTGACTAACAGTGGCCCAAGTAGTCTAATAAATAACTCTTTGGCATTTGGAACGATGGGTGGTGCTTTCAACTCTCATCGGGAACATCATCACTCACTGGAGACTGCATTCATGTACAGATGATGAGTCTCATGCGAGATGAAATGCGCATCCTGGATTCCACTGCTAGTCACCACCCAACAAATAAAATCATACAAGTAATATCACTCATTTGGACAAAACTTTCTTCTCCTGTACCGATGTCACCTACATCGACAACACGAATATTAAAACATCTTATCTTGTTAGCGTTTATACTTCCTTATTTATTCAGTGAAAATAATAAGTTAAAATTATGGTGATTAGGGGGAAATAAAATATGATGATTTTTTGTCATAAATTTTAAGTGAAAACAGGACACAGTAACTACGGCAGGGAAGGCTAATAAGTCTTTCTATGACTAGACAATAAATATTAATGGTGATACCGTTGCATACACAGCTTAGTTATGCGTGTTTAATATGTCTAAAAAGTAACTTGTTTTTAAGACACCGTTAAATGAAATAAAAAAAGGGTGATAAAATAACATATAAATGAGTGTGTCTAAAAAGTACGCAGCTCTTACAGATATCAAGGTTGCACTTATTTCTACTTCCATTCAGTGGGTTTTATAATTTGTGACACTCAGAAGCGTTGGTGTTTCAATGGTAGAATGCTCGCCAAGAACCAAGAACATGGTGTGAGATTTGATCTCCGGTCGACGCAGTTATAGACCTTTCCTAGCCAGTAGTAAGCCCAGTAAGGAGAGAAGGTTGAGTGTGAAACTATCAACCCCGTCCCATAAAAAATATCAACACCACCGCCACTGGGACTTCAAAGCTGAAAGCTTGGAGCACTATGTTCCACTCTGCACTCAAAGGAATAAGATAAAAGAGAATAATAAGTAACTCAAAAAGCTGACCTTTCGGTGAATGCTGGCTGGCTGTTCAAGGTTACGAAAAGTGGAAGTACTTGGTCCTATGTATATCATAACTTATCACTGGTAAAGTAGGATTTCTTACATCTATTAAGCTTCTCTAATGTAAAAATGATCAATTCAAAACGTTTGTAGAACTAATATGGAATATAGCTTTATTATCCATCTTCCAGTCTGCTTGTTGTGGAACCACTGGTTCCACTGCCTCATGAAAACCAATCAGGAAGACTGAGACTGCATACACAACTCGAACCAGAAATTAGAGACGCTTTGTTCTGGTTACCCTAAACCTTCTGTCTTAATACCACTTTATGTGGCACACAGTATGAAAACTGGCAACAGAAGTCAACTGTCGGTCAACGTGGGTTTAAAACTTTGTTAACTGACTTTCTATTCTCAACTCTATGTTCATTCATGTTTTTATTTGTAATTACACCACAAGCAAATGGTGATCCGAAAACGGTGATGAAATACCTCCATCTATGCATAGTAACAATGTATTGTAACGATAGAAGGCAAGAGTCAGGCAACAGATCATTTATTAAGGAAATCAAAGCATATTTATATATTTCCATGTACATTACTATGGATATTTAAGCAAACAAACACAGCCTTCCGATTGGTTGTTTCTCACGTAAAGTTAATCTTCCATCTATTTGTGACTGTTTCTTGAATGTCAAATCCTGTATATGTTAACTGCATCCGCCTACGCAAAGTCTGCTGTGGTCGGTTTTGAATCAATCTTTGTTCACATTTTCTCACGACAAATCTTGGGAACGTAAATATTGACGTAAATTACTATCTACCAATTTGGCTAGTAGACAGCTCTCACCACAGTATTATATGATTGAAGGCAATCGGCAGGAAGCCTTGCTTGACCTAGGTTTTGTGCTAGTTAGCACTCACCTGTCATCACGGCGTATCTGCAGCCTCGAAGAAACTCATATCCCTTCTGAAATTCGAATCCGTGTCAGCCACTGCTGCAGTCAAAGACGTTACCACTGAGGTATTCAGGTTCGAGCCTGACCTCCTGTGGGAATGTACTGGGAACTTTTAACCGGAGACTAGTCAGTAACCAAATAGCTCAGTGTCTGTCTCTGACTACAGCATCGGGTGACGTGGGTCCGAATCTCAGAAGGGACATGAGTTCCTTCAGGGAAGTTGCAGATACGCCTTGCTGACTGGTGAGTGCCAACTAGCACGAAACCTAGGTCAAGCAAGGCATCCTGACGATAACATCCAACCACCTAACAACAACAATTCACAGTACACCATGATGGCGAGCTACCTAGCATGGTGGCCACAATGAAAACTTGACTGATAGAATTCAGCCTGCATCAAAGATAAGACTAGACAAATTACACTAGTTACTGACTAGTGTCTAATAAAAAAACAACAACACAGTAACGATGTCTACCATATAAGGCAGTTTAGAGGTGAAGGTTTATGTAGGCCCATAAAATATGAACAAGTTTTAAAGTTATCCACTATGTTAGCGGCTGTGATATAGTAATTAGAAAGTATTTCAGACATGAAGACTTAAGAGTTCGGCTGCGATTAGGATGGTAAGTACATACTCCTAAACAGAGTCCTAGAACAAGGTAAATAAATAAAACAGGAAAATATTTGTAATAGAATTGTCTTAGTTGTATCTTTATAGAATTCTCTGTATAACATTAACTCCATTTTCATTTTCACTTTCGCTTTTCATATTTTAGCTTGTTAAAAGTGGAAGACTGAACGGAACCATCGAATTTCCATTGGCAGATAAATTTTCAAGATTCTCGTTTAGAACAACTATTTTATATTTGGCATCACGTGGAAATGAACCTGGATTAATGATTGAAGCTGGTTCTGATACAAAGTATGTATTATGCGTCCAGTCAATTAAGTGTCCAGAGCCTATTACAACAACTACAACATCTACGACAGAAGCTTTAACAACAACTTTACCAACTACAGCTTTAATTAATTCAAATAATTCCTCTATGCTCTTATCTTTATCACCAACCAGTTCACAAGGTCGTTCTGGTAGCGGTTCAACTGGAAATGAAAATGATGCGAACAATGAACACAGCAATTCTGCATTTTGGGATACTTTGTTGTCTGGGACTGAACCCAAGAGCTGGTTTCTTGCAACCATTTCTCTGGCTAGTCTGTGTTTACTACTCATAATCATGCTGATTGCAACATGGCTGTATACATGTCGCCTACGTAGGCTATATAACCGGAGGCGTTGTCATGGTACATGCCGTTTCGGTTGTCGTTGTCCACCAGAGGTTGTACGTCAAACAGCTGCTGAAGCTGCAGTATGTGGTCCTTTAGGTTTACAAACGCATCAACAATTTACAAACACTATGTCGCCACAGGGAAATGGTTCTGTCAGGAGTGGTAGTGGATTTGGAAATACACTATATACAGGTGGAACATTGAATTCAGGTCGATGGGGTTCAAATGGTAATAAAATCGGCTCTCCGTTATATGTGGCTCTTGGTTCTGCACCTGATAAATCTGCTTTATTGAGTGCTGGATGTAATACACCTAGTTATATGCTCGAAATGTCTGCAGGTTTACCTATAAATAGCACAGTAGATGGGTGCAGTGGATCATGCAACCAAACAAATGGAAAATTTCGAAATACTCGTCTTCGACCTAAAAGAACATCACAGGATGCTTTAAGACGAAGTACAAGTGAAGGTTCTAGTGTATCAGGAGCAACAGGTACAGCGGGTGCTAATAACAGTGTGACAGGTATAGACCAAAGCTCTTTTTTGTACCGTACTGGGCAGGCTGTCACTTTTTCTGATGCAACAATGCCAAATATTTTACCTTCTATGGTTGTAAGTAATACGAATGCTGGTCAGCGTGGAACTGAATCAACCGGGACGGTCTATTTGCAAGGCGGTCCAAATGGATATAATTACTCAGACAGTGGTAGAGGCAGTGGGATCAGTCCGGGGTATTCACATTCACCTACACATGGAAACAGTAGAAAGGTGAATGACAGAGCATATTTCAGCAGTAACAGTAATAGCGCTGGTAATAGCAATAGCAATAATAATAATAATAATGGTAATATTCAAAATGGCCTCATCAACTCCAATGGACCAATTAATAATATGGATGAAGAAGAAGTTGAAAGCAAATGTGATATGAATTATTTAGGAAATCAAGCGAATAAAATCCTATCCAATTTACAATCAGATCATTGTAATGACTACAATAATTACAACTCAGGTAGGTTTTAGTTAGATTAGTCCAAATTTGCATTTTTTCAAATAATATCGTACGCAGCTTGATTTATTTTTGTCCAGTAATTGATAATACTGAATAACACTGAGAGGAAGCTTGCTATGTGCACATACAATTAATGCACAACGATGATTACGGATATACATGCTCAGCTGTAATCATTTTAAAATATTTACTAATTGCATTGAATTACTTCCCTCCTATCTATTTTGTATTTATTGGTGCATTTGTTTTTCTACAATGCTTACTGTCAGTTTTAGAATTTCCTAATTTACGGAAATCAGTTTAGATATAGTGAAATTATAAGTACCAAAGTCATCGGACCAGTATCACAGAATATCTAGAGAATATTACGCTGATATTTTTGAGTTAAAATGATGCATATTACCATATTATTTGCATTCCTATCAATAAGATCACTTTCCTTAAGGTTTGAATTTATGCTCTTTTTTCTGCTCATCTTAGTACTAGGAGAAGTAAAAGTCCAATAATGTATGGTAAGTGGTTCGAGGTGATTGGTAATAAACCATAGACCTAGGTTTCGTTCTTATTGGCATTCATCAACAGGGCAACCTTGGATGAATTGATATCGCCTTTGAGTTTCGAACCCCCTTAACTCAGTGCCACGGTCAGAGACGTTCCTACTGAATTATCTAGGCAACATCGCAAATATGGTCGATAGAATTTAGTCCTCACTAACACCAAGTACTAGAAGCATGGCGTGGGTCATGTTTCAGCAACAAATCAGTGTAAATCTTGGAAGTACTTGATATTTTCCATGGTTTGATATGCCCTTTTTTCTATGAAGGCAGTGCTGATCATATCCTGAGTGGTCATTGAGGTTTAATCAATATTATGTGTCTAATTTTTAGTGGTACTGTCTGAATTCTATCACTAGATGTGAACAGCCCAGTGGCAACTTCTATGACTGCAGCAGCAGTCGACGTAGATTCGAATCTCATAGGGTATTCCAGTTCCTTTATGACAGGAGACAAAATTTGGTATAACAGCTAAAGTATTTCACAAATATCTGAATAAAGTAAATATGGGCATTTCATTAAAGTACGGGGTTAAGTGAGAATGACAGTGATATCTGAGGTAGGACTTTTAATAATTTAATTATTCGCTCGGTAACATTAAGAACACAATATTCATCGAACGGACTCTTATTAATATATTTACAATGTTTCTTTTGATCTGTTATCTATTATTAACACAATTTGATTGTTGTTCACACAGTCAAAAGATTAAAGTCGCCACATTTCCACATACGACACCTACTGTATTTAGTCTACTCATTTTTCACAGTAGTGGGTTAAGATAGAAATAGTCTGCGGTTCCCTAAGCCTTAGTGTTTTACTTTGAACACTGTATCATCTTAGAAACCACCACCACTGACTTCATTGAAAAAATGAAAAGTGCTTATAAGTTGCATAAATATATACTTTGTCTTGCTAGGTGTGTCGGTAGTTCAGCGGTAGACTGGTCGCCAACCATGCACATGGTGATTCCAGTACTAGTCACCATCCATTAAATAATATAGAGCCAAATTTAAGTGTTTTTAAAGAAAACATTAGAAATACACTGACAAGAAAAGAAACCTCTATAGAATGCAAATGTCGAAATATTGTAACACCTGTGGAAAATGTAGAGTTGTCGGAGAATCTTGATTACGCTAGTTAAACACTCTGTAAAATGTACCTATTACATCTGTTATACAAGTCATACAACACCATCAAAATTCAACTGATAAAGTAAGTTGATCTCCGTAACTTTTCAGCATAATGTGGAGACCATTCAACATGCACTACTTCATGGTACTTTCAAAAAGGAAAGAAGGAAGGAGGTCACAGCATCTTCGCCACTGATTGCGATTCTTGGCTATATTTGATAACGTTTCGAGTTACCGATTCGACATATCTTTCGGACGACAACCAAGGAGTGGTGATGTACCGATTGGTGCTAACCTGACACAAACATCCTTAATCCCACAACGCCACGCCATGGGCTGGCCATCGCTCCGGTTTTTCCATCCATTTCCAGGGTTAACGAACAGAGACAGATACAGAAGTCTCTGGGATGACATTTATAGCACATGTCCAAGTCATCTAAACTGGTCTTTCCGGATGATGACAGTCTCTAAAATGGCCTAACATGCACCGCTGAACTTTAAAATTACTCACACAATGATGCCACTGGAGGCAAGCAGTTCTCATTTTTGCAGAATAAATAAATATTTAAAACAGTTAGTTCCCGTTATGAATTTAGACAAAGCAATAAGAAGACGTAATTTGTCTGAATCGTGTAATGCATTTGTGCAACACATTTCGAACAATCTAATCACACACAGGCTTGCCATAGAAATGTAAATGAAATTAATAGAGTTAAGAGGTGAGAAGATAAATTTAGGTCAAGTTAAAAGGATATATTGAAGGTCAGAATAATAATGAAGATCACTAAACCAAATAATAGAAGTAATAGTACCTCTGCAATGGTATCATAACAAAGTTTACCAATGAAGGGGGTTTAGTGTGATGACGAATTGTTGCTTTGAACGCATAAAGGTGGTTTAGACTTCCCAATTACCAGCTAGGACTTCCTCAACTTTAGGATACACCTCAAACACGTTTTATAGATAGGTTTAAATGACGTGTAAACATCAATTTTACGTCCCGTCTCTATAATAGGTTTCGCAGTAGAGGATCTAGGTCTCCTGTTCTCATTATTAATAGGTTCTGAAGATTCCATTTGTTTCTGGAGCCATTTAGGAATATGCTATGAGGCCAGCCATTACCTGAAGAGATCGATGAGTCCTCCTTATGTATGTGTGTCCACAAGTACATTCAAATTGGTAAATACAGTGGGATGTGATGTCATTTTTCACATGTTCGAAGGGCTTAGATAGATATATTGGCTTTACATTCTCAATTATATTGACATTAGCTGCATAAAAAGTCTTTTTAATCACAGCAGCGTTCAGTCTTTGTCTAGTTATCAAGCTGCTTTGATGCCCCATATATGGTGGCTTGATGTACACGTGTTGCGCAAATACATTACACGATTCAGACAGATTACGTCTTCTTATTGCTTTATCTAAATAGATGAATAGTTATTTTTTATCTGCAACAACTAGCTCAACAAAATGAACAGATACAGTGAAATATTTATTACTCTGCATATATATATATATCCGTTACCTAAAATTTCATACTCTATTTCTTTGTTACTTAAAAGGTAGTTCCAATGACTATAATAATCAGTCATACATACAGTTATAGAAGCGTTCAAAATATTTTGTTCATATAAGCTATAAAACTTTAGGAATTGTTTATTAAAGTCTTCTCCAAATAAACATATAATCCTAATGGTCATAACGTAATGTTTAGATGGATAGTAGATTTCAAAATCATTAGTATTCAGCCGTTTATATTGTTATCAAGAGACACAGATTTGCTAAATAACTTGTTGTTTACTAATTCACTGTTCAACAAGTCAACAATGATAAACTTATTATTATTATTTTTCCAAACTGTCTTACTTCACTAATGGTGCTAAAAAAGGCTGAAGTAAACAAGAGAAGTCCATTATGTATAGGCTAATACCTTCTTCAGTTTAGTTACAATTCCACTGATATTCAAAGGAAAGACTTCAATTTACTATCCTGATAAACAGAGTAAGGTTCAAGTACATACCTTTACTTTTCACATACAGGTCAACGAGTTTTATGTATGTGTATACGTAGACTGAAAATATAATTGCTAAAATCAATGTATTTGTCATTTAACTGACAACAAATGGAGGGATTTTATTGGTTACAGGATTTTCATCATGAGCTGACATTAGTTAGAGAACCATTGGAAAACCAGCTGGGAGTACTGGACAGCTGTTTCGTCCTAGTTTGGGACTCTTCATCAGTACGCACCCACCGGGATTCGAACCCAGGACCTCCTGGTTACAAGGCGAGCTCGTAGACCATTAAGCCACTGGGACCCGATCCAATGGCCAGTGCATGAATTCTAACTTCTGCCGATTCACGACATAGCGCGACCCCTAGTCAATGTCTTCGGCGAGTATTTGTCCTCACACCTGACCTGCTGTACCCTACTGGTCACGACTTATCACTAGAACCCCAAGTAACTACCTACCTGAATAAGGCAAGTCGCTAGTGAGCATCTCATTGATATTCAAGTGTTGGTTTGTAGGGATTTTACTTGTAGACGTATATTTGGCTTAAGAACTATTCCACTGTATGCACTAACTTTAGTAATTGTTATTATTCATACAAAAATTCATTGAAACTTTAAGTGGAAGATAGTTACCTCCAGAAAGTCTACTCGAACTCACGCAACCAGGTGGGAGCCTATGGAGAGATTTGTCAGCTGATGACAACCTGTGGTGTCCGTCAGGGATGCGCAGTGTCCCCATTTCTGTTTAATTTCACTATAGATCTACAAGTGGAATCGATCCCAAATGACTTCAGAGATGTGTTATCAGGGAATAGTTTTGTTGAACTAGAACATGTGGATGATATAATCTTCCAATGTCAAAACGCTGGTAAAATGCTGAGTCTTATGAACGCATTGAACACCAGTCTTCGAATGTTTGGAATGTCATCTGCTCCTGTCAAATGTAAGAAGTTAATACAGGAATGGACTACATTGACTCCTAGCTTAAAGATAGGGAGTGAAGTGGTTTATCGTGTTGACCACTTCACTTATTTTGGAAGTTGCATCGGCCTTAATAGACTGATTTCTGACAAAATCTCATCACATTTACAGAAGTCTCGTATGGGATCTGCTAAAGTGACCAACCTCTGGCGAAGATGCGATATCTGGTTATTGATCAAAGGAGGTGTCCACTTCCCATAAGTTCACTCTGTTTTCCTTTATGACTGTGAGACAAGGTCATCGAGACTGGAAAACATGAAAAGATTAGATATATTTGATCATATGTGTCTCTTTTCTGTCTACCTCCCGTGTTAAATGGTGTAATATGGTGAGTAATATTGACGTTGGGTGTAGTGTTAGGTAAAGAGGGAAAGTCAGTCGATGAGGTTGTGTAGCTGCATCGATTGAGGTGGCTAGAACATGTGTTACGTATGCCCAGCCATCGCCCTCCGCGACAGGCAATGTTAACTGACATGTGTGCAGGTTGGAACAGAGCTAGTGATGGTTAAACCAAAACGTAAGATTAGTTCATGAAATCTGGTTTTGGTCCTCGGGATGCTCGGAACCAATGGCTGGAGAAGACTGGGATATTGAACTGCCTCACTTCTGCGAGAATCTCTATGTTGAAACCAGTCAGGTAGTTAGTCACCACTAAGAAGAGACATCAGTTAGAACGATCAGAGAAAAGTCCTGTTGAAAATATTCACAAAAACGGAAACTGTTCCATCAATGAGTAACCCCGCCTGTGAGTTACCTCTTGATACGTTTTAATAGATATCCCGTTTGAGTGTACTAAATTTACCAGATCAAAGAAGGTTGAAATATGTTAAAGTGTTCCAGTTTAAGGTGGCGGGAGGGCGCTGTCATGTTGATACAATAAAGTATCATTCTTGTCATAAAGCCGTTATATAGGTGACGTTGACAGACATATTAGGTATTTCAACAAAGACCTCTGGTGGGTTAACTACATACAGGTTTCTGTTTCGTGTGCTCTTATGGCTCGAGTTTAACTTCTTTCATCCATCTACTGAATAAATATCAGTACATCAATTTCAAACTGTCTACTTTATGAAAGAAGGTTCTGTGTTCGTCCATGGTTTATTGTTTATTCCTGAGAGTGAATACCTCAGCGGTTCATGTGAGTTTGTGAATACATCTCATTATCGAATCCTTAAAAGTGCTAGAACTACATCCTGAACTTTGTGTTACCTGATATATTTTGTGCCATTAAAACAAGAATAAAGTTAATCTATACGATATTATTACTTATAACAATAATTCTTAAATTCTCTTTATTTATTTAGATTCGCACAACTTGCCATTACATCATTTGAACCGTGGTTCTGAGGCAGATTTATTAAACATCACTCCTCCTTCAGGATTTTATGACTTCACTAATAGCAACAACAACCACAACAACAACAACAATCAGCACAACAACAGCAGTACTAATGGAATGGTGAATTCCGATTCTAGCTATTTAGTCAGTTCAAGTTTAGCTCACAACATGCTTACACCATCACCGCGTCAACAATCAAGTCATATACACCAAAATCGTTTAATATCTAGTCCAAATAGTTTTGGCCGACAAATATTCAATCAGTTACCACCATCCTCAGGAGGACTTCTTCCACATTCATCTGGTATAAATGGTAGTAACACAGCGACCACTTTACTTTATCCAATCCATGGAAGTCCAACCAGCCAAGGTGAATGGCAAAATCCTATGTCATTTACAAAATGCAACCTACAAAATGGTGAAATGGTCGGTAGTACTGATGAAGATTTCATCAATGTTTGCCCACCAATTATGCTTTCAACTAATAATACCACATCAGATAATTCGAATACAGGAACAGCAACAAGAATACGTAAATATAATGCGCCTAATTATAATGGTAACAGTAATGGTGGCTTAAGACCATTGGTTACAAGGCCACACTTCTCTGATTCACTACATTCAGGAGTTAATCATAATCTCAATGAGAATAATTCAACAACAATCAATAATAGATCATTTCATAATTCCAATGATAATGCAGAAATCAATGATACACTGATAACAACTTCAAAAGTTAATCGTATGTGTGTTGGTATCTCAGAGCGTATGTTGTAAATTGAATATTTTCCAATTTGTTTAAATCAATCAATGTTAGAACTAATAGGAGTGTTTCTTCTTTTAAATTTGGATTAATTTCGATGTTTCGCATAATTCGTTAAGGTTATTTATAATGCATAAAAAGGAAGACATTCATTTCTAGTGGGAAACATTTGTTTATTTGCATTCTTGAAGCATCTTCCTCTTTTTTCATCGTGTTTAAATCTACGCGGGTTATATTGCTTGTATTATTGGAGATTATTGTGCACTAGCTTCTAATAATGACAAGAATCTCATTCTAATTAACCTTCTTTAAGTGTCTAATGCCAGTATTTGATGGATCATCATTCGCTCATCGAGATACTGATGAGGTTTTTGATGATTGGTCCCCCCTCTGACAATTAATTTCTCGTCTCGCTACATTCAGATAATTACACACTTGTCATTTATCAAGAATGTTGCCTAAATTGCATCATTGCTGTTGTTGTTGTCAATGTTGTTCTATTGTTGTACAGGTCATATATATACATGAAATATTTTCACCTTTTATGATTTATTTCATCAATAACTTTGGGACCGATTTCCCCGAGCCCCCTTGCCCACTAATATTGCTTTTCTTTCTCAATCTTTGTACATCTGTAAACAACATCATTAGTATAAACACGGGTAGTGTATATTAAGACAACACAAACATACACACATGCACTCACAGATGCACACAGAAACATGACTCCACAGATGACACACCACCCAGAGAAAAATAACCTAAATAAGCATGCATATGAGCATATTGTTTTGAGCAATACTCTAACGTATCTGTTTAATGCACGCTGGCATTTATATGAGAATATAAATCGGGATATCTCGGTTACATTGTACATCATTTGTGCTTACGTTCACTAACATGCCCCCGACGTTTTACTGACCTACCTACCTACCGACTACACTGTATGGGGACTGGAGATAACAGTGCGTATATAGTAACGCTGAACACTGGACATGATTAGGAAGTGAACATTTGTACACAACACAATATAATATATATATCCCAAATGAATTTTGGTTTTCGTTTCAATAAGAAAAGAGAAAGAAGCCACACTGATGAATAAGCCTTTTTCTTTTCTAACAGAAAATGAATGAAAACAAGAAATGGTTTCTCTTGTTCAATTTGTTCAATTCTGAACTTCATCATTTTCATTTTTTTAAAATTTATTTATTTATTGGTTATGATGTTGGCTTGTTTGTTCGACTCGACAATTTTGCTATTGAAAGGCAACTTTTTCTTGAGTGTGTGTGTGTGTGAGTATTGTTCATTGGTTTCTATTTGTCCGGTTAGATCTTTTCTCTAAGAATAATATATCAGAAAGTCGACTCGTCAAAAACTTACTTCTGTCATGTATGTCTGTTGTAATGTGGACGCACTTCTGCGTGTTTGTTTGTGTGTGTGTAAGTTTGTGTGTTTGCCTACATCCATCTCTTGTCATCGTTAGTTTCTACTTATTTAACTATTTTCAATTCTCTTTTCTTTTTTAAAAAAAAAATTTGTATATGAATGTTTTTGATTTAGATAAACAATAATTGGCTTTATTTTTTGTCTTGTTCAATATTTATGATACCAGTCTTAGTAGTATTATTGATCATGATGCCGATTTTACTAATATGAAAAGAAATATCTGTTAGTTCCTGAGAAGAAACAGTAGACATCCGCCGTCAAGCTGTTGTAAGACAAAGGGTTACTGGTCGGTAGTAGAGAAAAAAAGAACCACTTTCAATGCGAATTGACAATAACTGAGAAACTGTAGAAAAACTACTATAAAAATAAGAGTGGTGAATCTTTCATAACTATTCCTCTTTATGCTTTTCTAATCATTCTGTATTTATTATTGATATATTTTATTTTCCAGCCTAATAAACTTAGTTTCACTTTGTTCCTTTGTTTACTAATCTTTCAGTGTGAATTAGATAAATTTAAATTATGGGGTTTTTACAGGGATTTGGACTATAATTTCACTGTGGATTTCGTCAATGTAGACGAAGTGAAGTTGACACTTATCGAAGGCGTTTGTTGACGTGAGAACTATATCAGGCATTGAAAAAGTTAGATTCTGACCCAAGTGACTGAATGGTCAATAACCTTGAACTCGTAGCCTGGAGGTCATGGATGTACATCAATGAAGAGTCCCAAACTGGGACGAAACAATTGTCTAGGGCTGTATGGTTTTCAGTGATGTCTCTAACTGATATTCGTTCTTGACGAAACCTGGAGTGAAGTCAGATAAATGTCTGTTGAAACAAACGGATGAAACTGTTTCAAGGTATACATTGTTGGGACTAATAACTTCAATCATTTTCTAGTTTTTATGAAGAAATCCTTATGTAGTTGCCAGTGAAGGTGGACATTATTATTATTATTTCCTTTAATTCCTAGAGGAACATAGGGCTTCAGCCATGCGTCTCCATTGCGTTCGGTTCTCTGCTGTAGTTTTCACCTGGCTCCAAGTCTGCCCACACGCTTTCAATTCCTCTTCACATGATCTCCTCCAGGTCACCCTTGAACGGCCAACTCGTCGCTTCCCTTTCGGGTTCCACTCGAGCAATGGCTTGTCTAGTGATGTCACTTGCTGGTTTCCTCAGAGTGTGTCCAATCCATCTCCATTTCTTCCTGCCTATTTGTTTCACGATCTATTCCTGGTTGGTTCGCTCCCAGAGATCTTTGTTGCTGATCCTCTCCGGCCATTTGATCTTGAGTATTGAGCGAAGGCATTTGTTAATGAAGGTCTGTAGCTTGTTTGAGCTGCTCTTTGGACATAAAATCGCCTTTTTTCTGCCACATTTACCTAATAGTTTATAGATTGTACTTTTACAATAACTTCATGTATTGGTGTAGCGAATACGGTTTACTGAATGTTACCGTAATGTGTTAAGTTCAGAAAAAGGCAGAAATAAAACAATAGAAATACCTATTGAGTTTGAAAATATTAGGGCACTGGGTAGATGTTATTAATTGTTATGAGAGGTTTTGTATTTCCCAATCAATGAAAAATTTTTGTAATAACGGACCTACTGACTCGTTGATTGACTATGCCAAACAGTGTCCAACACTTTCTGATATCCGCCAACCTTTCAGGAACTCTTTAATAATCGATCAAGTGTAATTACCCAACGATAAAAGTTTGAAAGGCGGTTGTAAAAAATATTTAACTGACAGATTTTGACGTTCTCAGCTGATTGGAGAAGCCAGACCCTAGAATGGAACCCGAGTGGGAAAAAGACAGTTGGGTGTCCAAAGATGGCATAGAAGAGATAGCGTGAAGGAAAATACAAAAGCCTATGGTCAGCCGTCTAGTCACCTATAAAAGATAACGGAGAACATACTGAAATGGATATGTACTGCTGAAGCCCTACGATTCACTCGGAATCCAAGGGAATGATAGCAAATATGTGGCGTGTGCTACTGATAAGGTTTATCAGTAGTATGTAAAGAGAAGTTCATCGACATAAAAACATTAAATAGCATGGAGATAGATTTGATGTCAGACAATGCAAGTGATACAGCGTTGCGGAGATACATGCATGCTTCATTTTGAAGTGTATGCGCTGAAGATGTTGCCTAGTAAAGCAATGAAAGCTTCGCAAATAAACTATCCAGTTCAGAGAATACAACTACATCAAAATCATCCACCTGAGCTACATATCCTCTCTATGATACAAAATGTATTCCAAGTAGCCGAAAGGAAGTAAAAATTAAATGAGTTTTGTCTCATGAAATTTAGATAAAATATACAAAATTAAACTGCAAACATCTTTTAAAAATTAATCAACATATAAACGCGAAAAAAAGGTTTTTATTTTATTTGGCTTTCTAACTCTTTTTTTAAAATCTGAGAAACTTTTAACCTCATTTTGTTTTATCACAAATGTCATTTTTCGTGTGTAAATTTATCTGATCATTTCTCTTGCTGTACTCAAAACTTTGAAATATGAAATGCTCTATTCAGTAATTTTGATTTCAACTCGACAACATACGCATTGCTAATTACCTAAAAATTCTACTTGGATAGATTGGGATTTAGGACTCATGAACCATTGGGAGAGGACAATTGAGTCAGACAGTGAATTCAGCTGCACCTATTTAAAGGCTCTTTGGATTTCTATAAACTCAAACTTATAACTTCTCTCTAGTTGAGAACACTGTCCACTTGTTTAATACGTGCAACTATTTTATGAATTAAGACGAAGGATTTGTGCACGGTACAACTGAAATTCATCTTAGAATGGCAGAGAACTTCCAGTTTGTGATTACAAGCTGAGGAAAACCTTTTCTTCTCGGATGAATGTTGCTTCCCATGAAACTCTTTCTTCTTCCTGATTAAACCTTGTAAATTACCGTAAGAGTACATTTTTCGAATATATCATATTCTCAGCTATGATGATGAACAGGCTGGGTGTTATAGCAGTAATAGGCGAACAGACAATTCCGCTAACATAGTAGTTATTCTTCTTCAAGCATTTGCCAATCAATTACGCCTAATTGCCATCAAGAAAGGAGAGAGGATTACTAGGAATTGGCTACCGAACTTGTTAATCTGAACCTTACTTCATTTGATGTGATAACATATATGTGTGGCATTCGTTCCTACATCTAGAATATCCAGCGAATCAGTGGATATTTCAGTACTCGAATGAAAATGTTGGGTAATAATTCAACTCGCTTCGGCGGTACATGTACTAAGATTGGAATGATGCAGAGAAGATCAGCCTGGTCAATGAGCAAAGATGATAGGCAACGTCGTGAAAGCATCGGTGGTCCAGTGGTGGAATACTTGTCAACAACTCACGTGGTCCAAGGTTCGCCTCCCGGCAAATACACTCGTAAAGCTCGTCTAGCTGGTGGTAATCCTTGTAAAGACGAAGTCTGCTCGTGAGACTAACAATCCCATCCCGTTAAGAGAAAATTTACTGCTACTGAAACTTCAAAGCCCAAGCATAAAGCCCTATGTTCCATTGGGAACGGAATT